AACAACGGAAAGAGAACACGGAAAACATCACACCCAAAATCAAGAAGAAGTCAAGCTATCTATTACTCTGGACCAACAAAACAGTCTTTTTTAGTTTTTCTCTCAATTATCACTATGATTGATGATTTTGAGCTCTTCAACCAAGAACATCATCACACAAACAATGTTWAATGTCWGGACCAATTCTTTAGTTGACGTCACTTCATTTCATAAAATACAATTCAAAATTGATTTCTTTCTTCAYAGAAGAGCGTGGCAGCGTGTTACCTTTTGGTAACATTTTGTGAAATAGCAAACATAGTTTTCTGTTATAGTTTGTTTGGTACCTCGTTAAAGCATTAGAGTTAATACTGATGTAATGTAATTTCAACAGCCCAGTAACGTACGCGATGGAAGGAGGCATCATGCTATCCAAAACCGATACTTTTACCAAGAAAATGTGTGTCACAAAAGCAGATTACGAAGAACATGGTAAACAYTTATGCAGAGAAAGGTTTGACTCGTGACAAGATGTATTTTGCTCGAAACTTTGTAAAGGTTTATAGTGTAGATATTTTCTCTGGTCAGTATTATTTAATAAAAAACTTAAAACATGAAGAGAGRAAGTAGTTTACTTTTTATTGTTGATCAAACCAATTCCAATTACGGCCTGCCTGCCTGCCTGAAAGAGAAGACAAACAGACCTAAATGCGTTATTTAAACATCAAGAGGTAGACTTTGTTTACCTCGGACAGTATACGTCATCAAAACACTAGTGCCAATCTCGCTTCATTAGTTATGACCAACTTTGAAACTTGCCTAGTAAGTGGCATCAATAAACATTGTATGGACACACTTWCCCAGTCATTTAGTCTCCTTCGCAACCTACCCTTTTGTCGTGGCTCAAATAAAGCGCATAGAACAGACTTGTATGTGCGCTATACAAGTTTTCATTATTATTATTAAAGCACAAGATGCGCGATTGGATATCAGCGCACGTAGCTTCTKGGAGCCCCAGTGCTTGGTATTTCGACGAGAATGTGTGCAACCTTATCGCTGAGTCTTACAGGGACCAAATACTAAAGCCGATCTACCGCATCCATATGAAAATGACAAGAAACGCTTATACTCAAGAAGAGTGCTTGATGTGGAGCATGATGGTCCTTCACGCCGCTGGTGTTGACCACCACTGGTGGAATGAGCGAAGAATGCTTGAGATTCCATAGATATTCATATACATAGTTCCAGCACTAAGCACTGTTCATAGGGTTACTAGCTGCTTATATTAGTATGAGGAAAAAAATTCTTGCAAGTCAAAATTTTGAAATCTCCACTAATGCTTTTATTTTTTAAATTTACAAAAAAAAAAAAAAAAACCCGCGCGCCTGGAGTTGACTGTCCTTCTGAGGGACAAAACTGAATCACGGCTCACGCTATTRAATATTCACGCATCATGGCTAATTTTTTCGCATTTTCACGACTCACGGCTAATTTTTCAGCCGTTTCACGGCTCCAACCGCATTRAGACCCTCGTATAAGTCACGTAGTCTATTCATACGGAGATTTTTTTCAACCTACTTTACAACTCAAATTCAGAAAAGAGCCTTTAGTATTGTAAATATAAAGTACGTGCATTTGAGTTCTTTTTTAGCTTTTTAACGTTCCATCCGTCTCCTTAGTTTTCGGGCGAATTGAGTTGGAAATACTTGTAGAAGTCAGTATGAATAGACTAATTAATTAATTAATTGAAATTTAACAGAAATACGGAACACACGTCGAAATCAATAGTTAAAGAAACGAGAATAGTTTGAAAGCAAAGAGTTTAGGCAGTTTTGAGTTGGAAAGAAATCGGTGAAAATGTCCGTATGAATAGACTGAATAGACTGCGTGACTTATTGGTACTATACGGACATGGATTTTTCTCTTTCAAATGATTAATCATAAATTCATACACAAGAAACATAGCAGGTATTGAGAGCATAGTAGTGACGTTGCTGCGTTCCGTTTCTGACATCAGGGACCGCGGAGCGTGAATTTGTTTGGGGGGGCTAACGGCGAGGGGGTACTAGGGGGGTTCGGAAATTTTTGAAACTCTCGCGTTTTGAGGGGTTATCAAAGACATTTTCACCGCACACACGGTCAGCGATATTATCAATAAATCCCAAAGACTTTGCAAAAAGGCTTCAATTTTAATTGTTCACGCTCTTGCACAATTTTTATAGAATATATATGGTGAAATTTCATAAGGAGCCTCTTCGCTTCTTTATCTAAGAGGGGGTATAGCCCCCCAGGCCCTCCTGCTCCGCGGTCCATGGACATGGACTAACGAAATTTGAGTGTCGCATTTCGCGACGATGTATTCTGTGCCTAGCTAAATGTGCATGGTAAAATCGTTTGCAGCGTATTCATATCATTATTTGACTCTAAACAAAATTATAGTATTTTAAAATTGATACCTTATCTAATTACTTTAAAATTTCAGAATATATACACTGTCCGTACGTTTTTTTTTTTCAAGCTACCTGTTTGGCGAATTCCAATCTGCAATTGAAAAACTATGAAAACATAAAAGAACACTGTCTTCCCCTTGAAACGCGTCATTAAAACGTTCATGACCTTGATGAATACTTCCACGAATAAAATGAACGTGACCTTGACATCTAAAAAGGCATTTTTTATCATTTTTGTGACGAAAGGCATTGTGGGGACTCTCGTTACTATGTCATGATGTTCAGTGACAAACCGTAACCATCCATTTGTAGCAGGCGTTCCTTGCTAGTCCTTTAAACTGAAAAGAGAAAATCACTAGAAAAAAGAAAACGAAGTGAAAACAGCAAAAAAGAGTAAAAAAGAAAGAATAAAAGAAAACTAGAAACAAACGAAACAATACGCAAGCAAAAAAGAGAAATTCCAGAAGCAGGACTCGAACTCAGGACTTTCACTTCAGGAGAAGATGCACCCCCCCGGAATACATAAGAAATAATAAAAATAAAAAAACTAAAAAGATGGGACGATTCCCCCGAGACATTCTATGAAGCTGAGGCGTCGAATCGGCTTACGTTACGGCTAGAGATTTCGGCTCTTCCACGCTATCCCGAGTGAACATAAAACTTAGTCTTAACCAAAAGGCCAGGGAGTGAGGGGGTAGCCGCCCACTAGAGCATACCTTTAGCTACCCTCTTAGACCATCGTACTATGAAGACACTTATAGATATCTAATATCTAATTGGGGTAGTCTATTCGGTGAAGTTCTATGCTAATATATGACGTCACCAAAATCCTTAGGGAGCAGCGAGCCAATCAGAGCTCAGCTCAGGAATTAGCAAA